AAAAATGAAAGGAAGAAAATGGCATTGAGATACTTTTTTGGCCATCAATGTCTCCAGACTAAAATCCTATAGAAAATGTTTGAAGGTTAATGAAAATTAATATACAAAAAAAAAATTCGATCAATTAGAGGGTTAAAGGGAAACTTACAAAAGAATGGAATTGATTATCACCTGTACTTATCACGAATTTGATAGCTAGCATAAAAAAGCGTACAGCTGCACTTATAGAGTCAGATAGTGACTACATAATGTATTAATTTTAGTTAGTTAGTTATGTATTTTTTAAATAAAAAAAAAATTTTAAATTTACTTACTTGTATCGGAGTAGAAATGATCAGATACTTATAATCACTATTGTATAAATGAAATTGATATTCAAATGGATGAAGCAAATATAAATGAAATAGAAATATTTATCTATGAGTAAGGAAATCTCTTAAGAAGATAATGAAGATTATAATATTGATGAAACTGATTAAGAAAATAATAATAATTATAATGAAAATGAAGATGAAGATATAGATGATATAATGTAAGTTGATATTAAAGAAGAATTAAGTAAAGAAATTATAGAAGGTCTTAAACTTTTGCATTTAAAATCATTATATAATTTTATAGAAGCAGCTTATAATGATATTATCAAATTATTTGCCAATAAAATATTAATTTAAATAAAATTAAAAAATATTAGAAGAAATTATAGGACTTATTTCAAAATTTTATGATATGTATGAAAATTCCTATATATATTATGTTAGAATTTATGAAACTTATTAAAGTTATCCATTATGTAATTTATTGAGATATAATTCAAAAAATAAATCTAAAAAAGTAATGCTATATCTTTCTATTAAAAAGAGATTAGAGATTCAATATAATAATAAAAGAAAAGCTAAAAAATTACTTTATAAACATCAATATATTACTAATAAGAAGATTGAATCTAAAGATTTAGAAGATATTTTGATAGAAATATATATAAAGATTTATTAGAAAAAGATTTATTTAGTAATCAATAAGATGTGATATTTACAGTATCTTATGATAAATATCAGATATTTAAACAAAAAACTGATAATTGTTAATTATTTCTGTTAATAAATGATAATCTGAATCCTTCAATTAGAGTTAAAAGAAAATTTATTAATTCCTTTTTTGATTTCTAAATTAAATTAACCAAAGGATTTAATACATTTTTACAACCATTTATTAATGAAATGAAAGAATTAAAAAGTAAATAATTTACTATATTTATTTATAATTAAGTATTTTATTATTCTTTATTAAAATAATATTTTTATTTTTAGATGTTATAATATGTTATAATGCATATACTGAAAGTGAATTTATATTACATACATATATTCTTGCATAAACTGGTGATATTTCAGCTCTTACAAAGTTATGAATATTATAGAATATAATTCATATTCAAGTTATAGATTTTGTGAGATTTAAGGAATTTACTCATAAAATCATAAATACATTTATTTTTTTACTAAAAAAAATCATATAAATTGGCTTTTACATATTAATAAATAGAAGTTGTATCAATTTTCAAAGATAAAAAATTTTGGTTAAGAAATATGATAATTATAAATAAATAATGATTATAAATTCTTATATATTTTATTTATAATTAAATTATTTATTTTCTTTATAGGAATAAAAGGAAAATGTATTTTTTTTAATTACTTTCTTTTAATTTTTCTAGATCATTTCCAATTGATATTATGCATCTACTATTTGAAAATGCTGTACCACATATATTTAAATTATAGACAGGTCAATTTTTAAAGATGATCAAAATATTTCTATATCTTTTGTCTTATCAAATTCATGAGAAGAAATTGGCATAATAATACAAAATAATAGAAAAAATATGCCTTTAGATTTTGAAAGACCATCTAGAAATATATTTAAACATAATACTAAATATAAAGTTAAGAATGAATAAATTGGATTATTTTGTATTCAGTACCTTTGCTAAAATCCAAATTACCCAATAAGTATAAAATTATATTTTTGATAAATATTTTTAATTATTTATTGAATTTAAATTTTAATTTGTAAAATAAATTTATAGATATATCAAAGATTAGAATAAATTTGTTACTACTACTCATTTATATATTGTGACTGGATGTTGATTTTGACAATTACAGATCTACAAATGTGTGACAGAGTACAAATATTGATAATGTTAAATATATTAAATATGTTTAACATATTTAATATGATTAATATGTCTAATATATCAGATATGTCTAACATTATTAATATAATAGATATAGTTAATATAGTTAATATATTAGATATATCAAAATATATAATAGAATAAATATAAATACAAACCCTTTTGTTAGTTATAAAAAAACAGATTGACAACTATATAGAATCTCCTTCTTGTAAAAAATAGCATAATGCTACTCTTCACTTCGTATACCTCTATTTCTTATTTCTTTTTTCTTATTGTTTTCTTATATTTTATCTTATTATTTTCTTTTTACTTTAATAAAGTATTTCTTATTTCTTACATAAAACTCTCCATGAATATCTGTGATAACTCTTGACTTATGAATAAAGTTATTTACATCTAGTAAATTTAACTTAACTCGATAAACTAGTAATAAAACAATTGAGATTTAGCGTAAAATACATTAAAATTATACGTAAGCTATAAAAGAGTCAACTTTTTGATACTGTGTTTAATAGTTGCAACCTAAAAAGATTGCATATTAACAATATATAAATAAATATAGAAAAAAAAGATATTTCTATCATTAGAAGAAACCTAAAAAGTTTTTATAATCATATTTCAAAGTAAGTATATAAATATATTTACATACTATAAAATTAATATCATTTTTATTTATTTATATACAGTTGACCCTCTCTATAGTCACAAGCTTCAGGACTGCCTAATACTGTGATTATAAAGAAGTATGCTTATTAGTAAAGGTTTTGCCATATAATTACATATATATAAACCTTTAGTATCAATATGATTATATGAGAATAATTATTATGAAATAACGAATTTTATTAGAATTATATTAAGAAATAAATATTTAAATATAATAAATATATATTTAAATTTGGATTAATGAAAAATTATATAAAACAGCAGTTTATTATTAATAAAAATTATATTATATATACTATTAGAAGGTAATTACTAATTATATTAGTCAAATAATATTTATTTCTCAAAGAATATATTAAGTATACTTTGTTTTTTTGAATTAAACTCTTGAACTTTAGATATTTTTAGATACTTTCAAAAAATACATAAATTATTAACATTGAATTCAGGATCAGTTTGTTATTGAAAATAGGTAACAAATATTTTCAACCTACTAATTGTTTCTTTTATTGATACTGAAGGTATTTCTTTATCAAAGCTATCATTATCTTCTTCACTTCTTTTTGTCTCAAGTTATACAAGGTTAATAATTTGTTCTTCAGTAAGATGTTCTTCAGCTGAAATTTCATGATCAAATTTTTGAAAATATTTTCACACATTATTAGTCTCTAACAAATTATCAAGAAGATCTTTCAATTTCGTTAGTATCAAAATCTAATTCAAAATCTTGCAAATCAAAACCTTTGTCATCATTATTCACATAATATGGAAGTATATTGGTATTAATATAACAGTTTTGAATTATTTTTTGAGTAACATTATTCTATCTTTCAGTAATAAATTTAATAGTTTCTTTAAGATTCAAATTATTTCTAAATAAATTTGATAATTGATATCAGTAAATTTATTATAATGTATAAAACAATAAAACAATTTATAACTTACTTCTCATGGATAGACATTCACGTGATTGGCTGATCCTATTCAATTGCCAAATACATTATTTATATAGTTTAGAGTACTTTTTGAGATTGTAATATTTCACATAAAAAAATAAAAAAATTTTTTCTCTAGCTTCGAAAGTGTGTTAACATTCACTGTTGTCACTGAGTTCATTTTCGTTTATCTTAACGTCTAAGTTGAAAGGCTGTGGCAGCTGATTTTACACGTTAGAGTTTCTGACTTTAGGATTTTTTCTAAATCTTACAGGTATCCGTTATACTTGAATCAACTCAGCAATTTATCATGTTTTAGAATTTAAGATATAATTAATCGAACTCGTAATGATGAACTCAATAGCAAGTTAATGTAATGTATCACAACAATCCTAGGTGAAGAACAATGTTGAAGGGAAAAGTAGTTTATATGGATTTATATTGATTCCTTTATTTATAACTTAAACCTCATATGAAACTTACAAATGAGTTAATAAACTTGCAAAAGAGTTTTTTTTTTTTACAACTTAAGCAAAAAGCTATTCTATTTATACAAAATGACTTTGCTACGGCTAGCTACTTGCTACATTATAAATTAACTAAATATAGATATATGTCTCAACAAAAATATACTTAAATATAATAAAAATAATATAAATAATAAAAATAATAAAAAGAAACAAAATAAGTTATAAACGTTAAAGAAATTATAAATAAAATAAAGTAAACAGATTGAACAGACTATTTAGAAAATACAGGAAAAACAAGCATGTCAGGCAAAACAGAAATTATTACTGATCACTGTTTGGCACAGTAGTGATATCATCTAATGTGAGGTCATTATTGATCAATAGATCCCACGTGATATTTGGAGTTGCAATTTTTTCTGTTGACAATCCTCCTCTAACTTGAATTTCGAATGTAGTAGTGAGAAAGGATTTCGCCTTCAAAATAAGATCCTGTATTTTACTTTCTGTTAATCGTTGTATTTACCAAGTGATCAAGGCTTTAGTTTGATAAAGTTACAATATTCCTAATTTTTAAAATATCATAAAAGTCTTTACAGTAACCTCTCTTTGATATGGATTCAAAACTAATTTTGCCCATTTGTAATCAATATCTTCTAAAGAATCTAAAAGTTCTTCAGCGAAATACATATTTATTAACATTCCAATTTTGTTTCTGGTCACTTTTGTTCATCAATAATTTCTTTGAATAATTCTCATTTTGATCCTAGGATCATCTGTAGGTTGATAGGGATAGTAATATTCTTGAATATGTAATGGTTCTATTTGTGTTACGTCTTGTAAAATTTCATCCATTTTTGCAAAACTGATACTAATGGAGGATAGTAACCTTTATATATTTTCTCATATGTCGATCACTATTTGTGGTTCCCATGACCGTCAATCAAAATAACTTTTCAGTAGATCACCATTTACTGGTTTAGCAAGAAGGTATCTATCTTCTTCTCTTAAATGATAAGATCCATTGATCAAAATTTCATGAATCCTGTAAGGTCCTTTCCATTTTGGCTCTAGTTTTCCTGAGAACTGATTGATTCGTACAATATCAAAATACAAGACTTTTTGTCTTATGTCAAATGACATTGGTTTAGTCAGATGTTTATCATGGGCCGTCTTTTGATGGCGATCATTGTCTGTTTAGCTTTTTCTCTAATATCTGGAAGTTTTTCTATGATTTGTCAGATTCGATCTATCAA